CCACAACGAGCCTATCCACCCGGGAACCAAGCTCTACCCTAACAAGAACCCGGATCAGACGTACCCTTCTGGAAACAGAAGTGGATCGCACCTGCAGAGGAGCGAACAGCCCCTGGCATTGAAGTTAAATTGCTAAATTCGGTTGCGACGATCACGCCGCTCAAATAGTCCCTTATCTTAGCACGTCTAAATACCCTTAGGGAGGTTCAAGACAGACGTTAATTAATATAAATAAATAAATAAATAAATATTATTATTACAAGAGCAATCCTTTTCATCGAATAGATCAATCAAAAAACCAGACTAACCTAAGGAATTTAATAGTATCTGATTAGATCATATGACTTATAATAATGATTTCTGTGATTTAAATAGAGGACACATTATGACGAAGGAGAGTTAGAATTGAAGTTGGAGTTGGAAATCTATATGAGATCGTCGTTATATTAGTATAAGTTTCTACAATTATTTTGTGAATTATACTAGTGACAATTTTCGTAAACATCTTAAAAATACCTTATTAAAATGATATAATGAGGAAAGGAATATGTAGGATTATAATCATGATAGATAAAGTAAGATTCACTAAGAATCTCTTTTACGATCTAAATAAAAAGAACATTAATATAATATTAAATTTTAATAAAAAGAGTATTAATATTGAAAACTATATAATTAATATATGAAATATTTTAATATATAAGATTAGTTATATATTATTAATTATCATTTGAGATAAAATAAATAAAGTTGATTTCTAATTATAAGTATAATTAATATATTATAATGAATTTCAAGAATACTCTAAATATAATATTAAAGAGAATAATATTTACGAAAGTTTTTTTGAATAATCTGAGCTCTTTAATTTCTTGAGTATATTATTATTACTATTATTACTACTACTACTACCTATATACATTAGAAGTAATAATTTTTATAACATTGTCTTTAAAATTAAAGTTATGAATATTAATTAGAATTAGTTTATATATATTAGATATTAGATTTAGTTTTTTATATATTCAAGTAAGAGGACTATTTGTATGTACTAATTGTCTGTGTTTCCTACGATCATTTTCTTTTTTTGAAGGTAATCGAAGTTTATAATTGATGAGGAGTTTTTTCGATATAATTATATATAAATAAATAAATTCTAGTCGAAGAAAAGAAAGTAAAGGTAAATTGAAGAAAAGAATAGGAATCTGAAAAGTTCTTATAATCGCTTGAAATCTAATTAACATTAAATTACATACTGTTATAAATAATAAATATATAACTCAAAAATTTTCATAATAAAAATAAGGAGATAGATAATATTATATTATTATTAGATATATATAGATTTAATTATAAATATTCAATATAATTTATAATTCTCTTTCAAATAAGAAAATATATTTTTAATAATGTCTTCTAAATAATTAAGTATATTGATATTAATAATAATTAAATAATTCCGTTAAATTTATATTTGATTTCATATTTAATAATATATTCGAATTTAATTAGGTTTATATAGTGATTCTTATACAGTATATATAAAATATGGTTTTATCTATAATAATCTCTTTAATTAGAACTAATCTATCTATAAGTAATCTATTTATAATGAAGAGCTTGTTGACGATCGGGCTGTAAAGCGGGCGGTCATCTCTGATCCAGATCTAGTCTTATGATCAATTAGGTCCTTGAGGCTATTGCGATAAAGGATAAATGTTATCGTTTCTGAGGGAGATAAAGTAGACGGAAAAGAAGGGTTGTTTTCGTCTTCAATTTTCATTTGCGGAAATAGAAGTTAAATCGGGTACCCTACTTTCGAGCCACTCCCCTTTTGAACCACTTTTTATATTAAAAATGGAATTTTTAATTTTCTTATTTATAAATAGAATTTATTGAAAATTTATATATATATAATTTAGATTATATTTAATTTAGCTTAAAAATTTCAGATTTCTAAGAATTTTCTGTATTAAAATCTAAAGCTTCAAAATATTGATTTTTAAATTTATATAAGAATCACATACAAATTTAAAACTTTTATAAAATCTTTAATAACTTTTTAATAACAATCATTAAAAAAAATCTATATATCTTTTTAAAAGGTTTGAATTTAAATCTATATAGAAATTAAAAAAAAATTAAAAAAAATTAATAAATATAGAGATATAATATATAGTAAGTTTAGAATAATATAAATAATCCCTGTAATTTTAAAGGTATTCTTTTAAATATCTATTTATAGAAAATTTTCTTTTTTTTTAAATCCTTCAAAATAAGTATGTTATAAACTTATAATAAAATTTTATAGTTTATTTTTAATAATTTTTATTAAAAAGTTATTAAAGATTTTATAAAAGTTTCAAAGTTGTATGTGATTTCTATATAAATTTAAAAATCAATATTTTAAAGCTTTAGATCTCAATATAGAAAATTCCTAAAAATCTGAAATTTTCAAGGTAAGCTAAAAATGATCTAAATTATATATATATAAATTTTCAATAAATTTTATTTATAAATAAGAAAGTTAAAAATTCCATTTTTGATGTAAAAAGTGGCCCAAAAGGAGGGTGGCCCGAAAGTAGGATACCCGACTTATAAATTATTACTAGTCTTATACAAGCAATCTTATTTCTTTAATTGTTCTCATTAGATATTTACAGGTTGTCAAGAATCTTAACATTTAATTATTATATAATATAATAACTACTTCATATCAATACCTCCTTCTTTGGTCTGAAGATATAATATAATTTTAAACTTAAAATTGAAACTAATAATACAACATCTCTACCTAATAACCACCTCTATTCAACAACTCTTCAATCTTCAACAACTCCTCCTTAATTAGCCCCTCTCTACACCCTACAACCGCGATACCCTGCTCCCAAGTATCGACCGTTCTTCACCCATATGGACCTACAACTCACCTTCCGTCTCTACAACCACAACATCAAGCCGAACTAGTTTAATATTTGCAGGTATTACATCTCCGAGAACTCCATCGCCAACCTTCAATAAGACAATAGATAACGCCGCAGACTCTGATGCAGCTTCTAGATCTCCTAGTCCCTCAATCGCCTTAACTTCCTTCCATACCTGTTCAGGTTACTGTGGAGGTTATAGGTTAGTTGAGGATCCCTGTCTCGCAGCCTAAGTGTAGCCCTTTGGCCAAGGCAGACTCAAAGTCTACTCGAGACCTTGTGAGCCCTCTGTAACGGCAGGTGATATTGTCGTGAGGATCGCAGAGATAGATATAGTATCAGAGTCTGCGGCGTTATCTGTTCTCTTATTGAAGGTTGGCGATGGAGTTCTAGGTAATATAATACCTGCAAATATAAGACTAGGGATGAGCTGTCGGAAGTTGTAGGGTTATCGAACGGAGGTGGTATGGATTGTTGAATAAAGGAGTTATGTTATCAGCCTCAATTTTAAGCTTGAATCAAAGAAGGGTATATGGATATGAAGATCTGTTATTATTTTCAAGGGTGCGATTGAAATGGCGACACGCTAATTAAACTTAAATCTAATAAGGAATTGAAATAAAGCACATTCAAGACTAGGTTTTTATGCATATACAAGGGTACTACAAGGCTTATTTAAAGCCTCATACCTCAATGTACGAGGTTTATAAATTATATTTTATTTTTATTTTTAAATCGAAATAGATTATCTGCCTCTGTTACCATATGATATTATACTTTGAAGAAAATGGTGGGGTATGATTGTGTGTTTAGTAAGCAATGGCTTCTCCCATACAAGCATATGTTTTCAGTATGGTTACATTTTGGGGAAATAGAAGAGCTTGATTGGTTTGAATATGCTGTAAAATTCAAAGAATACAGCTTTGAACTATATATAGACATAGAAAAGGTGAAAGTTGATAATGAATCATATAATATTAAATCAGGTAATATACATGTGAGGCTGAATATAAAAAAGCAACTAGAGCAAATTAGAACTAGATTCTTCAAATTATCAGAATACTCTGATTTATTAGAATTGATACAAAAAGTCATTATTATACAGAGATTCGAAGATCGTTTAAGCGAAGCTATGAACGCTTTGATTGGGCTTTCAATCGAAGTTTTCATTTCAGAGTTGTAATGTAGATTGTACTTAATAGAGTTTAGTTTTCTTAGCGTGTCGCTATTTCAATCGCACCCATTTTCAAAGTCAGTGACAAAGCTCTAGGGGATACTTCAGTACTTTTTTTTCAGTGAGGTGAAAAGGGAACTAGATCACAAACCTAACCCGGTGGGTAAGTAACCTATAAATAGGTTGATGGACGACCTCCCAAAACCAAAGATCTATCCAAATGAAGTATGCTAATCCTCCCTTCTTTATGCACTTTCATCATAGCAGTCGTTAGCGATAATTCAGACTCCTGAGATGATAGTACAGAACCTGAACAAGTGTGGGGCAATTAATCGAGCATCGGCGATATGTCGTCAGCCTCGAGGTTGATGCCCGTCTCTGCCTTAGATAAAGCTGTAGCAGAAACAATGGTGGTCGAGCGAGACTTCAATGACTCCTAGTCTGTGTCTTTATCATCGACTGAAAATTTGGGCCTTAAACTGTCAAAGTAAATCCACAAACTAGTATTAGCAATATAGCGAGCAAACCACAATATACACTCCTTATATTACTCTACCATTGATAACAATTTATGATATTTCTCCTCTTCATCCCTCTTTTCGCCAAGAACCCATTTCTTTGGATTCAACTTTTCAGTATAGATTAAACCCCGCATTACGTAGTCTTCCGGAAAAGGACGTATATCATCTTTCTCTGGCAAAGGGAATTTGTCGTTCTGAATACGATCAAGATTGATACCTGATCCGAGGAGTATGTTTAAGTAAATCGCCAGACTCTGCAAAGGGAACGCCAATGCCAAAAGATCCATCGCGTCTAAGAAATGAGACATATGGTACATAAAAACAAGAGAACAATGAACGTAACTAAGGCAATTTGGATCGCCTATTCGCTGAAGAACAATATCAATGAAGAACAATATCAAGTGCAGAGTTGTTAAGCCCCTCCGCGTGCCTAAAAGCAACCATAGAAGGAGAAGATTCATCCTCAGTACCCTCCAAGTGAATATCAGTCTTGTCAGCTGCGGGTGGTGGTGCTATGACTTTCATGATAGGGTTTTCTTTTGAACCGAAGCCTAGGACTACAGCGGTATTAGAAATAGAGATCTGATAGCCTTGTTCTAGAAATTCTTGGTTACTCGTCCTATCTGACTATCGAGAAGCCCAAGGAACTCTTTAATTGCTATGTCAAATCTGTCCATGGTTCGATTCGTGAACAGGTGAGTATGAGCTTTGATAAAAGCAGTATCGAGAGGAGGTAATTGATATTGGCTCTGGCTATTTTCGACGTTAAGAACAGGGTCGAAGAGTGTAAGGATCGATTTGTGTACAGAAGTGAATGGCACTACTGTATAAAGAGATTTTGCGTAGTAGTAGAACTACTGTAAAGTATTCGGTCTTGCTAAGATCACAAGATGATGGTAGAGGCGACCGATCGTAGAGGCTTTATTAAAAGTTTTGGAGTATTATTGGCGAAATATTCTAGTCCATATCTCTCAATCTCTGGTATTATTGTCCTCGATCACTATTCGGTATTGTGTAAGGTCTCCAGGGTATTCAATCCAAGTGTCTTCGAACATAAGAATAGTTTCGTATAATAGTGCTATCATTAAATATGCTAAGTAAATGAAGACGAGTATATAATTCTGTAATACTAGTAATCTATATCTAAAGAGTTCCAAGAATGTATAGATACCATAGCGCCACATCCTTACAGGTATTGTATACTTTGAAGTAAAGCGACATAAAGCTAAACTCGCCAAAGAGTGTTGAGATGCTAAAAATAAATCATGGTGTTCATGGAGCAGAGTACAATATAAAGCAATAAGTACTTGCCATTGCTCGTTATTGAGCTTCGGCTGCGAAGAATCGCCTTGTGTCAAGCCAGCTTGTTTGTTATCCACTTCTATGCACTTTGCCTCTACCATGACAAGGTCTGCATAGATGCCCTTCACTTCAGCTACGAGCTGCACCTGTGATATCGGTCTAGTTTCTGGCTGAAGAATAATGGTATAATCTTCACCCTGAGGCTTCGATTCATGATCTGAAGTATTTCTAGTATGTAAAGTGGTAGGTGACGCAGCTGATTAGCTACTGTGATGGTTATGCTGACTTAGATGAGGGGCTGATCTTGGCATAAGCTGAGGGGAAGATTTGATTGATCTGTGTGCGCCTGGTTTCATCGCCTGAGCCCGTGTTTTATTTGCTTGAATAGACGCGATATTTGACGGATCGAATGATGATCTTGTGAATAGTGAGTCTTGATCCGGTGTCCATAATTTGCCTTTCGGTCTTCGAGAAGTAGTAGTTTGGCGCCGAGAGTCTGTATCCATAGGAGACTGTAGTGGTTGAGCTTTGGATCTTCGAGGCGGCGGTGAACCGGAAGCCTCCCGAGATGACGAGTCTGCGGATATCCCATCACTGACGGCCGCTCTCTTACGTAGTTGGTCTGCTGTTGTGTCTTCGGAGAATCGTCTATCACACTCTCCTCATTTTTCTCTCCAAGGTTCATTGCTTGAAGTCCTGATAATGATCTCGTTGGTTGAGGAGTATTGAGCGGCCGTTTGGATAGCGATACGGGTCGTTCGGCCTCCGCCGCTCCATCAATCTGCGTATGTTTTCTGGAGAAGGATTCATCTTTGGAAGGTCTTTGTACGTATTTCAAATATTGTCAGCCTTGGTCGTCTTCTTTTTTGCTTCAAAGTTACAGCCTCTTCAATAAGTAGCCTGAATTAGGTTAGCTGACCTCTTTACTTCCGAATCCCTTTCAAGCATTCTTCGAAACTGCTTAAGCTTGTTCTGATATGATAGGATTTTGTTACGATATCTTTCCTAAGCATATTTCTAAAGATTTTCTATTAAAAAATAAACGATGTACTTTAGATATAGGGTATAATTTTATAATAAGGTTTGATTATTCTAATACTAATATTTATTTAGATTTTGTTTGTATTTGTATATATTAATATGAACTTAAGTTGTAGAATGATATTGATTATGAAATGTTTTTTTAAGGAAATGATTGAAAATGAAAGTAGGATATCTTTTAATAAAAAAGTTTAAGAAAAAATAATAAGAAAAAATATGTTGATAAAAGAATTACTTGATTTTATTTTTATTTATTTATAGAATTATATATCAAGAAAGGTTATATTTACTTAATAATAGTAAATTATTCTATAAACACTTTGAATAAAACTAAACCTATGAATATATTCTTTTAATAATTATATCCTATTGTTTTTAATGATTACTTTTAATTTAGACTTTTATTTAATCAATACTTTTTTAGAGATCTATTTTTATAATAAATTGTAGATTATATATCTTAATATAAATAGTATTAATCTTTTAGTTATGAAAAACAAATACTTATATATAAAAGTCTTTATAATATAGTATCTTGAAAGTTTATAAACTCTTATACATTCTCATCTACTCTTTTATACTCTACTCCTTTTTCAACACTTTTATTATAAATTTCCATAAATAACAATTTATATATTATGTACTTTAAATTTTATTAATTCAGTCTTGAAATCTAATCTATAATCGAGCAGCCTTTTCGATTTTAAAAGAAAAGCTATAAATCCTTGTTCTTTTTTAATAGAATAGTTTCTAATAGAGCCTTTTAATATTAGCTCTAATATATATAAGAAATCAATTATATCTAAATCACAACTATTACTTTAATTATAAGAATTATATAATCTAAATACATTAGAAATTAATTAATAAAATAATGAAGGTTAATATAAGCCTTTATATAAAAAGAATTAACTCAAATATAATATTAGAACCATACTTCTCGATTATTTATATATCTGTAACATTCATATATTATTAGTAATAAAAGTAATTTAATTTGTAATCAAGAATTCATTTATAAAAGCTATATAAAAGAATAATATACTAAGATTATATATTATAGAATATATAATACTAAACTAAGACTACTCATTGAATAGATCTTTTCTATTATATTTCGAATATCTTTTCTTTTCTTTTCTTTTAATTTATTTATTCTATAATATTATTATACATTTCCATAGATATTTTCTTATACTAAAGTATAAATTTCTAAAGTATTACGATGCAAGAGATAGGTATTAGGTAAGATGTATGATATTCTATAAAGAGTAAAGAAGGAAATAGAAAGGTTTCGACTATATAAAGGGTAGATGTCTTAGGTATTTATATAACTATGTATTAAACCCATAATAGTACCCCCCTTTAAGGGCTTGCTTGTTCTAAGCAAGCTAAATCCATTGTATAGCTTACGGTAAGCTATATAATAGATTTAGCTTGCTTAGGACAAGCAAGCCCTTGAGGGGGGGTATTGTTATGGGTTCAATACATAGTTATATGGATGTTTAAGGTATTCATTCTTTATATAGTCAGAACTTTTCCACCTCCTTCTTTACTCTTTATAGAATATTATATATCTTACCTAGTACCTATCTCTTACACCGTGATAATTTTATTATAATGAAAATATTTAAAAAAATTATTCTTTTACAACGTACAATGTAACATATAATATAATGTATAATATTATAAATAATATTATTATATTGATTGAAAGGATTTCTTTTATTCCTATTAAAGTAGATTTGATTATAGTTATTAGAAAAGCAAAGTTTACTTTAAATATATTAGAAGAATTTTAATTTTTAATTTTTCAATATTCTATGAAGATATATTGAAAACGATTATATATAAAGTGAAATCTTTCAAAAATATAATTCTATAAATTTTCTTATTATAATATATAAATTTCCAATATTTTTTATTATTACTTATAATAAATATCAATTATTTATATTTAATATTAAATTCAATATAGAATTATTTATAATAGTTAAAAGAAGATGAATTAATTATAATTATTTAATTATTATTATTATAAATATTATAAATATTAGTATATAAATATGAGAATTTTATATAGTAACAAATACTAATATTTGATTAATAGTTTTTGAATATTATATATTAAATATAAAAGTCATAATATTTAAGATACTATCTGTTGGGACAGGGATCATGTGACTACGCTAGCGTTGACGCTAGCGTCTTCCGATATTACAGTAATACGTTTTGTAGTGTTACGGGAGCTGCCTCTAGGGTCACGTGGAAGTGTCTAGAGATCTCTCAAGGTGGTTTAGACTAGACTTCAAGTAGGAATTCAATAAGGTTGTAATTGATTACAATTCTCGTAACTATAGTAATGAAGCTAATGATTGTTCTTGAGCACGAAGCTCTATATTGTAATGAAATCCCATTCCCTTATATAGATCTTCATACTCTGATATTGGTTGGAGTTTCTTGGAGTCCTGGCTCCTGGGGACCTCCTTGGAGCCCTGGCTCCTGGGGACTCCACCACGTGACACTTGTCACATGGCATTCTGTTACCCATCGTAACACTATCCCCTTCCTAGACTAGCGCTTGTCCCAAGCGTCTTATAATGCTCCATTTCCCCACCCGGCCGGTGAATCAAATGGTCTTGGGCTCTTTCATTATGCCTATCACCACTATTTCCCCTAATCACCTAACTGTTCGAAAACGTAAGGAACAAATCCTTCTTGCTCAGGCTATTGAATCTAGTGGTATCGAAATGATTCCGTGTTCGCGTTGTCGTTTGGATGGTTATCGATGTGTTAAGGATTTGTCTCGTTCCGATCGCTCTTGTTGTTCTGAATGCATGCGTGTACGTTCTTCTTGTGATGCTGAGTTTCCTTTGTCCGAGGATTGGGATCGAGAAGTTCCTCGGGAAGGCGATTGGCGTGCCTTGGATCGTCAAGAGGAACGCCTTCGTTCGGAGGAAGAAGAGGCTATGGCGAAGATCCTTCGCCTTAGGAAACAACAAAAGTTGTTGCGCGAGCGGCGTCAGCGCATGGCCGACCGTGGCCTTAAATATTTGGATGAGCTTGATGCTCTGGAAGAAAAGGAAAGGCTAGAGAAAGAGCGTGTTGAGAGAGAAAAAGAAATGGCGTCTGCCTCTGTTGCTGGTCCTATCGACGACTCCTTTGCTTTCGATTCTTCTTTGCCTGAGTTGTCCGAAGCGGATCTTGAGGCTTTATTGGCAGGTGTGGGTACTTCAGGTGGAATGCCCGTAGCTTTTCAGGGCAGCTAAGATCTTCCTTGAATTCCCATGTGTTTTCTGAGTGTGGGTAGTCTAACCATTTGATCAAATACTTGACCTTGTTTCTAACGTATTTGCAGTCTAGTATTGTTTCGACATCGTATATGGCGTTTGGGTTGACTGGTTCAATTTCTGTGAATGGCGCATTCGGCGCTCCTGGTGGTGCTGGTTCGAGCAAGGATATATGGAATACTGGGTGAATATTCATTGTGTCTGGTAATTTCAATCGATAATTAACCGTTCCTATTACCTTATCAATCTTAAATGGTCCTAGTTTCCTGTGGTCGAGTTTATTGCTTGGTCTCTTGGTTTCGATATTTCGTCGTAGCAAATAAACTTTATCCCCCTCTTTAAGCGTAGGTTCCATACTACGTTTCGTATTGTAGTACGCTGCTGTTCTGGATGATATGAATCTTAGATCGAGAGCAAGCTGCTCTTGTAAATCCTTTAATTGTTCGACTTGTATTATTGCTGATTCGGCATTAACTTCCTGTGGTATCGGTGTTTGGTATGCTTTAGGATTAAACCCAAAGTTAGCGCGTGCTGGTGTAATCTTTGTGGTTTCCGTTTCCGATGTGTTATATGCGAATTGTGCCATAGGTAATAGCTCTACCCAATTGTCCTGTCGATAATTTATGTAGCATCTAAGATATGCTTCCATTGTCTGATTGGTCCTCTCTGTCTGACCATCGGTTTGTGGGTGAAAGGCTGTTGATAGCTTTCTTTTAACACCCATTAGTGCTAATAAGGTAGTCCAGAATTTCGAGGTAAAGAGCTTGTCTCTGTCCGAGATTATCTCATCTGGTACTCCATGTATGCTTACTATGACCCTAAAGAATACATATGCTAGTTGTTCAGCAGTCCATGTTTCTCTGAATGGTATCATGTATGCAAATTTTGTCAATCTGTCTACTACATTGAGTATTGCGTCGTACTCAATTCCTGTAGTAGGGTCTTTCGAGAGTGGTAGTTTGACCACAAAGTCCCATGTAATGGACTTCCATGGCTGAGAAGGCATGTCTGGGGTCTGGAGCTGACCATACGGAGCGTGTCGTGATGACTTGTTTCGTATGCAGGTGTCGCAACTTCCAACAACTTCTTCAACTATCGTTCTCATTCGTGGGAAGTAACTGATTTCCCGTAATCTTGCGAACGTTCTCGCAATTCCCTGATGTCCATGTGCCGGCAACCCGTGTTGTTCCGTCACAAATTCCTTAGTCATTCGACTAGGAATGTATACTTTTCCGTGGAAGTATATAGTTTCGTTTTCTATTGTGAATCCTGGTTCTATTGTCTTGCGTATGCGTATAGCTGTGGCATCTTGGTCGTAATATGATTGGATTTGGATCCTGAGATGGTTGTCTTC